TGCAGTAGAGAAGTAGATAGGGATACAGGAGGTCTGGACTATATAAATACAACCAATAAATACATTCACGATCAGCAACTATCAACCATAATATTATACCAATACGCCGGCTCAGGCGTTCCCTCCGGCTATGGGCAACTAAACATGACAAGCCAGGCCGGCATGTAGTAAAACACTGACTACCGGAACACCGGAACACCACCGGAACACCGGAACACCACCTAACCCTAACCCTAACCCCAACCCTAACCCCCAACCCTAACACTATCCCTAACCCCAAACCCTAATCCTAACCCTAACCCCAAATAAAATGGTGGTGTTCCGGTGTTCCGGTGGTGTTCCGGTGTTCCGGTAGTCAGTATTTTACTACATGCCAGCCAGGCCTATTGTAAGGGAACGCTCATTATTTATTGTACAGGGGGGGGGGTTGAGGAGAAACTGGGGGAGGGCTTTAAATTTTTAAAACCTGAAAGGGGGGCTTTGAAAATATACGGAGAGACGAAAGAAGGGGCTTTGAAAATATTTACCAGTTTGAAAAAAACATTAGTACGTAGTTTCAAAAATGTATCACAAAACAACTTAACGTTAACAAATAACAATGTTTATAGATCTTTAATATTCAGTAAATGGAAGCCAAATAAAAAGCCTCTTATGTTCATGTAAATAGACAATTCCCATTATAGACTAATTTTAGAACTAGGCAAAGAGATGCAAATCAAGGCCGGATTTTGGTGAAAATAGTGGGGGAGGTGGAAAAATTTTTAGGGGAAGTGCAGCGGTCTAGCTCACAACTCCCATGGAAAGTTAGGGCTTATTGTAGAACAGGCCAATATCAACGAGGTGAGGTATGCATGTAGTGTACATATGTACCAGTGTATTAATGAATTATGAATGTATATGACTCTAATCTTGCCCCTCATTACAATTGCTGCAAAGTTTCTTTCAAAACGTTGCATTAAAAGGGTAATTGACACAGAGATGAATGATCCTAAAGCAACCATCACATTTTCACTTTGTTCCATCATTGAAACTTTCCCAAGGGGAGGTGTATGACCTTTCAGAAGAGTTGGAAAAATTCTCAGGGGAGGTGCAAAACGATCTCAGGGGAGGTGCGCACCTCTCCACACCTCCCCTCAAAATCCGGCCTTGATGCAAATAAATCACCACTGCGAGAAAGAGCATACTAAAATAAGTAAATTATTGCAAAGTTTGGTTGCAAAATGTTGTGAAATACGGAAAATATAGCCTTGTAAAGTTTGGAAATTTTGTATACTTTTGTATTGCATGCGAAAATTGCAATACAGAAGTATACAAAATTTGAAAACTTTGGAAGGCTATATTTTGTACATATTTTACAACATTTCGCAACCAAACTTCGCAATTTTACTAATTTTAGTATGGTCTTCCCCGGGAATATACTTTTCTTGCTAAGATAAAAAATTATTTTATAATGGGAATTGTCTATTGGTCCACATTACCTATTTTCGTTTCTCTAAATAAAGAGCTGGAGTTTTTGTTTCTCTAAATAAAGATAAAGAGCTAGGGGGGGGGAATATATGTTCTTGTTTTGCCTGTTAGGGGGGGGCTTTGAAAATTTACTTGTCTTAAGAGGGGGGCAACGAAAAAATATTATAACTGTAGAGTTTCTCCTCAGTCTCCCCCTGTACAATAAATAATGAGCAGTCCCTAACTATAATCATCAAGTATCACCCATAAATAATGATGGGCCAATAACAGCGAAGAAATTATATATAGTAGTCCTTGATTTTTAATGCCATTATATGACTCGTTTCAGGTGCTAAAGAGTTCATAGACATAGACGATTCTCCTAAAAAATATGCCAATTTGCTTCCATTTATAAGATAAGCTGATCCCAATCCCCAAGCCCTTCTCTAACCCAAACTAAGAAACATGTAATAAACAATTTGAGAATTAAGAAAGTGGGGGGAAAAGTTGGATCTTGCTCCAAAAACCAATCGAACAGTACCACCTTTTACTTCGCCGCACGCAATTTGGTACAAATTAATTAATGTAATTAGGTGCAAATCTATTATTATGCAAATGAATACAAGTGCACAACGCATGTTTATGAGCCTAAAACGTATATTTAAACTTATACCTTTAATAACTTGTCCTTGTTTATATTCCAGTATTTGTATAAATTCGCTGGGTCCAAATTTTGGGTTTTCGAGTCGTTACACACAAAAAAAAACCACTAATTCAGCATGCAAGAAAGGCCAGAGTACGACACAACGTAAAATCCATAGGAAACCGGCACAATTCTTTGAAAAGTCAACGAAATTGTGTGAAATATATATTAGATCGCTCAGTGAATAGCCGCCATTTTGAAACTGAACTGAATATGTCACTGGAGCTCGTTGCACCCTGAGCCTGCGATGACCTATCGCGAACTCGATTTCTCGAGGAAAAAAACAGAAAAAGAGGGATTTAAGACAGTTGGCCTACAGGCCAGTGTAATAAGACTATATGTCTAGATTACGAAAAGGGAACAAGGAAATTGCAGTGTTTCTATATCTTTCATACCCTGGGTGCCAATTATTCCGCGCTCGCAGGGGGATAATGAGGGATACACGAGGATGCAAGATGGGTGGAAGGCACTCGTGAAGAACCTCTGGAACACTTTTATGGCTTCTCAGATCGAGCCCTAACAAATCATGATGCTTAACAGTGTGAAGTGATCCAGAATTAGGATCACAGCGTTAATTTGTTAACAGCAGTGACTCTTTAAAATAATGACTTTCATTGGCTGTTTGAGCCGCATGTTTTTATGATAATATCGTCTAGAATCCGTACAAACGTACACAAACATTGCTGTTGTTTATTATGTTAGCATCTCTCACCTCCGCAGTGACTTCCCCCCTTTCCGGCCACCTGCGCTCCTTCGCCCAGCGTCTCCGCTCGTGTTCCGACTATATGTAAAGTGTAGTACTGTAGTGAAATGTATCTCTATACTAATCGAAATCATAGCCAACAGAAGCCTCTGCGGTGGAGAGAGTATTAACATATTCAGGTGTAAATATGCCTTCAGTTTTGCCACAGGCGGCTCAAACGTGTATCAGTATATAGTAAATATATAATTATAGAATATACTACACAGCAAAATTTGTAATGAATTTTATATTTTAAAATTATATTTATTTGCCTACTCTGATTGTATGTGATAGTCTCTTATTTCTGGACGACTTTACACTCACGTCTGCGACTGTCATCATAGGTGGTAGGAATGAAAGCAAAGGCTAAATATTCCCGTTCTCAAACCAGTGACTCGAACACTTTAAATCGAAAAATATCCCCTTTAAATGGTTTTGTTCTCGGTAAAAAAATCACCAGCGTTTTTAAAAAACACCCATCTTCGAACATACAAAGCAATTTTAATATGTCTTATAATATTTAGAATGGATTTTTAACAAAATGTTTCAAAACCAAAATTCTATGGACCTTTGAAAGACCGATAATTATTGCCGCACCTGCTTGGCCACCTAGCCTTGTTTACCGTTTGGATTGTCAGGGGAGGGGAATTCAAACAACAAAAACATATTTCCAGTAACAGCCAGCCAATCAATGCCGCGATACCGACTTTTTACAATATTTGAAATCTATAATATTGTAATTTATCAACAACAAAACTCTTTCGATGAATCGATCGTATAGCATACGATAGAAAGAGATTTTGGAAATTACAATATCAGATTTCAAATATAGTAAACCGTCAGTATCGTGGTGTTGATTTGCTGGCTGTTGTTGCTGTATACAATCGAAACAGTTTTGCAAATTACAATATCAGATTTCAAATATTGTAAACAGTCGGTATCGTAAAAATAAATACTTGCCCTGTTGTGTAACGTTTGATTGACATATGACAGTCAAAACAGTAAAAGTCATACGCGTGTTCCAGAGGTTCTTTCCGCTAGTCCCCCTCCCCCCCCCCCAAGCTTGTATCCTCGCGTATCCCTCATTATACCCCTGCGAGCGTGGAAGAACCTCTGCCACCCAGGATATATTTTTCGTGAATCCATTCTAACTGCATGGCAAAAGAGTACTAACCCAAACACTACGTTTGTAATAATTTTCGATTGTTAAAGTATGCAATGCAATCAATGCCCAAAAGCAATACGAAATATTGAATACTTTTTATGCCGATATTTTTCATAATAAACGATTTGCTTAATATCCGTTGCCGTACGCGTATAAGAATCTTGTATATACATGCAGGGTGTCTAAAAAACAATTCAACAGGCCTAGCTGTTGTGCATCGCAAACTTATCTAAACAATTCGTTTTTACATAGAACGAAACAGGTGTTATTTACAGTAGCTTTTCTGTGATACCTTTCTTAACTAAACCATAACGATGAGAAATGGCCACATACTCGTCAAATAAAAATTGTCGGTCGAAATCACATTCTTCCAACGTTGGGAATTGAAAATAGAATAATTATGCAAAGTTAATCAATCCAAAAGCAACGCGAGTCTGCTGCAAGCTATTTGTTTCATAAAACGTTTTGATTACGAATGTTCTCTGTTCATTGGTTAATTGAACCATGTTTAATTCAATAATGGACGGTGTTATTGTCTCACCAACACGAAGATTGACGAGTTGAGCTCATTTTAGATAATTTTAACATTCAACTTTAATTCCCTCTTGGGAATTGTCTATGATTCGTTTTCCATGTAATTCCCAACGAATTGACGAATTTGTGGCCATTTCTCGTTACGATTTAAAAAGAAAGTATCATTGAAAAGCTAAATAACTGCTCTTTCGTCCTATATAAAAATTGAATTGTTTAGCCACGCGCGTTTATGACGCACGGCAGCCGGTTGAATATCCATGGCGGTTTTTTTTTGAGACACTCTGTCTAACTGAAGAAGAGAATCGTGTAAATTTGGGAATTAGGCCAATGCATTATTCAATTCATGTGTATAATGAGTTCTTCATTGTAAAATTTAATATCGCAGATTAATCGCTGACTATAAACGTCATATATACACGATCAGTCATGAACCAAACGGAAAATGCATATGCTAATGATTTACTAACATTATATTTTGATAAAGACCCATGTCTAACAAACCCATGTGGAGGCAATAGAAAGTGCACACCAGTCGCAGCAACAGGAGGACGTAATTGTACATGTGAAAAATACTTTATTGAGAAGAATGGAACTTGCGCACCAGTACCACCAGGTAAGTTCGCATATCCTATTTATAAATAAACTAGAAAATACATGCATGCAGAAATCCTCGCCTTGCTGACAAAACCATTGTATTTGCGAACATGAAGTATCTAAAGTAGTTGTCATGGTAACACGATAATTTTTTAAGAATATTCTTACAAATGAAAAATCGCCTAAAAATATCACTTATAATTACAAAATTATTAATTTCCCAACATATATATGTTAATTATGTTATTATACGTAATATAAGCCTCAATTTAAGGTAAAATTCAACCACAAACGCTTCGCAAAACCTTTTAAAGTCACTAGTGTTCTTTTATAAAACTATTAAACTGCTTTTTAAAATGACTTTATCGATAAACTTTGAGTTTGCAATAAAATGATTTCAAATTCTCGTTTGCAAGTAACTTTGCTTTCTTCTTTAATTATTTAAAAAATTCATCTTAAAAAGGAATCAATATTAACGATACACTGAAATTATATGCTGTCTTAACAAGTTTTAATAGTTGTTTCATATGCGCAAAGGCCGTCCGGTTTTAAAGCCAATATAAAATCAATAATTAAAACAAACTTACCTACGTTAACGTTGGCTACCTTCTTTTAGCCGATTCTTTTGCAGTTTCTTTTTGAGAGAGCTTTTGAAATTTATAAAGTCTTGCCAAAATGGGAGCAAAAATGAAATATATTTGCAAGAAATTTAATTTATCATTCATCAAATCAAGAAATGTTTGCTATTTCGCTGTCGTCATGCAGTCGTTATAATGCAAACTTTAAATTGGACCAATCAGTGTCCGCATTTCATGACAGTCCGCCATATTTTTGAGAACAGTGAGGATGACCACCCACCCAACACCCCACCATCGTTGGTGACACACACCCGCGATATTTGATGAACTTTAGACTTCGCTAAAACAGGGTGGACTTTTGTCTACGCATGCGCGAGAAATGTAAGCGTGGAGTGCACGTGAGCGCGGGTTAATCGCGTGACTAAATTATAAAAGCAAACTTCAAATTTCCCAAAACTACTCGTGTTATGAAGTCGTTTTCTTGTTTCTTTAGTGTTTCTACGCTCACAATTTTAGGCATTTCAACTTAGAAGTGTTTGCTTTCGAATAAGAACGTGAAAGTAGAAATAAAAACTTTGTTGCAGCAGTTTAATTTCGAAGTGCAAATACCTGTTTTTAGTATGTATATCCTTTTCGAAGTGAGACATACAAATGCAGATTGACCTTCTTTAAACTCGTACTTGCCCTATTTTTCACTTCATGAAAACTACTTTTATCCATGGAGAAACTATCTGACCCTAAAAATAAGCTTGAATTTTTCTGGTGATATAGGCTCATTTCTTTGCAAACAGTGATTTAGTACTTGGTAGTGTAGTTGTTGTTTATGAACAAAAGTCTAAATTGAATTCAACATCCGTCAACAAAAAGGAATCGCGCTTAGTACTACTCTGTAGAGAATAGACAATTAATTTAATTCACTAACAACCCGTTCTACAATATAAACTAGAAATCGGCCAACAAATTGCCTACCAATTTCACCGAACGGTCAAGTTTCTCTGCAAAGATCACCCTTTTGCCCAATTTTCCTCGAGTAGATCATCGTGTTTTTAAGTCAAGGATTATGTAGGCCCTATACTTTAACATAAAAGAATAAAAAAAGTGGTGATAAAGGGTAGATTTTGAATAAATAACGAATATCTGTATACAAGATCTGAGCGTTATTATGAAGTACTCGATACTTTCTCCAACAACATATTGCGTTTATTTTTTTACAAAATTAAAAATATTCACACATTAAAGATATGAAAATGTAGCTTGCATTACAAAGAAATGTTGCCTTACCTAGGTTATACCTTACACGTTGATTAAAGTCAAGTAAAGCCCTTTCAAAGACGCATGCCACATTAAACTACAGGTCACATGGCGGTAGAGAACTCAACGAAGTATTCACAATATTTCATAGCCAGTTCGAACGCCACTGTGTAC